AGAGTTCCACGCACTCTCGCTCCACACGATAACCACAATCAGGCTATCGAGCGAGAGAACTCCCACTCCGATGGCCGCCACGAGGTCTCGCCTCTGCTCAACCCACGCCGGGCACTCTGCCAGCGTGTGGAGAGCCGTGTCCACGGTCTGGCCATCGCAGTTGTGGCACTCAGGCGTTGGCTCCTTGCGGATCAGACACAGGGGATCCTTGAAACATCCTTTCCCAGTGATCACCTGCGTCAGTCGGTATGAGAGGGTCCCGTGACGCCTCTCGAGCCAATCCTCCATTACGGGTCTTACCGCCGCGATGACGGTGTGCTCGGCGCTCGGTTGCCCGAGTCGTTCCCTCCACTCCCCTATGATGACCTGGCGGAGTTGGGATTTCCGGTCATCGATTTCTCTCTCGGCTCTTGCCTCCAGGTCCCACGGTGGAGTTCCGGCCAGGAGACTCGCCGCCTCAAAGGAGATCGTGCGGTACCCCCTTATGATCCTGATGGCCAGCACTCGCTGCGGTCGTCGCAGTGTCGCGACATTGCTGGCCTTCAGGGCCCCCGCCCATACTGGTCACCCGTAAAGGGCCATGGACCGCACAACCCCCGAGTAGAGACCGTGTTCATTTCACCTGAGGCCTATGTCCAGCAGTAGACTACAACTACTTTCAGTATATTACAATGTACTCTGTGGTAGACTATTATAGGCTGTTGATGATTTCACTTGTCATATTGACAGGCTGTCAGTGGCAACTGTAGTCGGTGATTTTAAAAAAGGTAGAGCCACTGAATTAAAGGAAGAAGAAGAAGAAAAAAGGTACAATAAATAAAAATAAATAACTTAATATCATGTGTTATGTATGCTCCGTTAAGAATGATATTGTAAAAAATGTAAATACATATTGTAAATATTGTAAATAAAATATAAATACCAATGCTGTTTCATTTTGTTTAGAAATTCTCATTATAGTTAAAATAATGTATTTCTTTTTCAGATAATGTTTATTTTATATAAAGCCTTGCATTATTCTTTTGCATGCAGCAGTCGCTATGAAATAATACCACTAATAAGTGTTCCTATGCATGCGCATACTTTATCTCTATAGGTAGGTAATCCGGGAGTTGACACCCTTTCAAAAATATTTTTAAACGTTTCGTATGTTTAAAATAGTACCCGTAAAGTAATATTTAAATCGTTATTTTACCCTTAAATCAAATAAAAGTATATTATGTTTCATTTAAAAAATAAAAATAGGCCACAAAACGCGGCATACCTAATGGTCACGTGACTAAGTATGACGTCATCCTTCGACAATTCTTTATATTTTATATGAAAATTTACTGAACTGTTAATTTAACATTTCTATTATTAAATTACTCTTTTGTTACTTAATCTACACCAAATCATTATTTCTCTTTTGGCGCCAACTAAAGTCAAGATAAACAAGACATTCATTCATTCATATTATTTAGACTTTGTACGAGTGGATCTATTGAATTGATTAGTTATTTTCAATTGTCACATCGCAGATTATATCTTGTCCCAGTAACTCAGTAGAAAAAAGCAGCACGATCTTTCTAAACTAATAGGTATTATACCACTTGACACTTGGCTTTTCTGCGAGACCAGGTTTAGAAGTATAGGTATTTAATTATAGCAATTGGTGTACCGACAAATTTGAAGGTACATATTTTAAATAGTTCAGTAATCCAGTCTCGAGGAATCGAATCAGAGCTTTTACCGAAAATCAGTTTCCAAACCCTGTATTTATTGTGTTTTATCAGTGAAACGGTACCTCGATGATTGATTACATACTTTAAATGAAGAGTACATTTTTTCATGATTTAATCACAAATATGTAGTTTTCAGACTTTTTCTTGTACTTGTAGTACAAGACGATGTTAATTGCCAAATTTCATAGTTCTAAGTAAGCGGTAAGTAGGTACCCTATAAATTTTGAGTGTTGACGACGACGATGACGATTTAACGAGTAACGACTGTGTCACCTACCGATTGACTCAGATGCTCACCAGGTATGGTTGCATTGGTGAGTATCTGAATCAAATTGGATGGGAGGACATGGCACAATGCTGTGACTCCACCCAGCACACGCTGGAGGACTGCCCTGCCTAGGAGTCCGATCGTCAAGTCTTGGTCGGACAGATCGAATGAAACCTGTCACCGCCAGCATTGATCGGCCGCAGAGCTTGATAGGGAGAGGGCCAATCCCGTTCGAAGGAGGCGACGAAGGGGACTCGGCAGAGGTCGCTTGCTCTCCAATCGGCGCCTAATGGTCGCTGCGGCCATTTCTTGGAGTCATGTGGCCGCTGTAACAGACATGAGACAATGACACTCCGGTACGGCCGGGGGTGTTGTCCAAGGCTAGCTGTCAGGCTCTCAGCTCTCAGGCTAGGGTAGCTCTACACAGTAAGAGGCGCAACAGTACCCCTGTTGCGCCTCTTACTGTGTAGAGTTGTGATAGGCGCGACAGCATCCCACCCCGGGATGTGCCTCAAACATAGGGTATGGCACGGAAGACTCCAGAAGCCGTCGTTCTGACGTCTTTGCAAGGTACGGCAGGGTGTACGGCAGGGTAAAGATGCTTTGGTATGAAGCAGCATGCCAAAGCATGCCGCGTCACGTCGTGGCATCCCTCAGAACGCCCATCCGCTGAATAGGGCTGGCGCTGACTGTCGTCACGACACGTCTAGTAAAGTTCTTTTATCCTTATTTCAATGTGTTTAGAATTCATATTACTTTGTTTTGATACAATTATACCGCGGCACTTCTTGGCACACCGCAGGACACCACGGCATGTCTTGTCATGCCGTTTCATTTAATGGATTGCTGCGGCGTCCCACCACGCCCTGCGAACCACGTAGTTCACAGCATTATGACAGTTAAACTTATTGAAACTAGGTTTAAACCAGATATGGCGGTGTTGTCGGCGAATGGAGTGCACCCTGAGCTAGGCGCAGGTGTAAAGGAGGAAGCACGCGCGTCTTGACTGACACTGAGCGCAGATAGATAGAAAACTGCACGTGCATAATTATTGAAGAATACATTAAAAGGGGGCTGCTTGACCAGAGTGATAACACGCCCTTACAAAAAAAACGATGTTTGGTCGTGTGAGTGAGGTAACCGGGGCTAAAAGCTTCCACTCCTGATCCCGGGTGAGGAAGGCGGTCATAATCCTGTGACCTATGTGGCTTGACGGCATGGCAATCCATAGATTGGAACCGCATGAGATAATATGATAATATGCTGAGATAATATGATAAGACGTGAAAAACATTTTTATCATCACATTAACAGTCTTTAACAAGCCTCTTTAGAAAGGAGGTTTTTGGCCTACTGTACCACGCTGGCCAGAAGGGTTGGGCTAGGGTTTGTGTCAAGTTTTCCTTCTCTCTGCAGTGCTGTTGTTCTACGTGGTTTTCATATTTATAATTGTACCGAAAAAAGTAATATGATTTCTAAACTCATTGAAATAAAAAGAACTTGATCAGAAATAGAACCCATAACCTGTTGTCCGATGGTCGGTATCCGAATGGGGATTTTCGCACGGAAAAAAAAGGGTGGCTAAATCGGCATTGCACGCGGGCGCTAAAACAGCTAGTAGCGGGCCTGAATATATCTGGCCTAATGCAAATATTCCAAACACAGGTAAAAAACCTGTTATTTCAAATGCTGTTACTTCAACTTTAAACTGCCGAGGGAACTTACGAACACATTTTATTTAAACGTGCAACTCTCCATGAAACTGGTTTTGATAAAATTTGGCAATAAAGTGAATTTATCATGTAGTCTATATGATGAGTGCTGCGAAAGGGGTGACTGATGGCCTGGGGCTTACGGACAAGACTGCAAAACCACCACTAGAGATGGACGATATACATCGATTTATTTAAAACACTCGATCTATAGTAACGATGCATCGTATTAAACCGATGTATTTTTAATACTTCAACATCGAATATATATCGATGTTTTTTATTCGATGCATCGACCAAGCAAATTATGAATGAGTATAGTGTTGTATAGCCGCCAAATAGCTATAGTTTATTGAACGGGGTTCTTTTAATTCGCCCGTTGGAACGCTGTAGGTCGTTCGACTCGTGTTATTCGTTTGTTCGCGGGAAAATTAAATTAAACTTGATTTTTATTATGTGAAAATACTAGATTATGAATTCGCTTTAAATAAATACTCGCTGAATTTATGGTTAAAAGTTGATTACTTGCGCATAATCAACGTTTTATTTAAATGACAAAGTTACAAGTATTCCCGACACTAAATGTGTGCGAAAATTGTTAGCGTGGCTAACTGGAATATATTGGATTGGAAAATATTGGAATATGTAAAGAAAAATGTGTTGGTTATGTGATTTTGAATTTGAATAAATATATTTAGTGCTTTTATTAATATATATATATATTTTTTAATTAAGGCCTAACCTAACCTAAAACACGTCATCGCGAAAATAATCGATGTTTAAGAAACATCGATGTATTTCTCAATACATCGTATTACCATCGATGTGACCGATCGATGCATTACATCGAAAAAAACATCGATGTATATTTTAAATGTCCATCTCTAACCACCACTGCACAGAGTGCCATCTTAACCTTTTTTTTTGATCTCAGGTTCTTTCATGATTAACACTTAAGTGATAACATTTACCTATCAATAAAAAAATTATCAATAAACAAATTATATTTTTACATTTTAGACTGCATTTTGTCGGTTGTAAAGCATATTTCGAGAGAGAGGAGGAGACTATCCATGCATTGAAAAATGTTACGATGATGCATCCATGCATGTAATTTGATCTGGTTACACTGTGTGAAATGTCAAATCCAGCTTGTTTAGCATTTGATTTGATTAGAAAGCGTCAGAGCCAGAAGCGTGTGCGTGTGTTAGGTGTACGTGTGGTCAATTCGAATAATTCTAATTAACTTATTAAAAAAATATTTATTTAATATTATATAGTTAATCGATTAACGAAATGAAAATCGCTGTAGAAGGTTGTGCCCACGGTGAGCTGGAAAAGATATACGATTGTATTCAAACTATACAGGACAGAGAAAACATTAAAATAGATTTACTAATATGTTGTGGTGATTTTCAAGCTGTGCGAAATCATAGTGATTTAAAAGCAATGGCTGTTCCAGAAAAATTCCAGCACATGTGTTCATTTCATAAGTAAGTAATAACATTTATCGATTACTGCCTTTTCTGTAAGCTCCTTGTTATTCACCTAAAATTAGTTTATAATACAGCTTCTTTCCTGCTGTAAAATAATTTTTAAATACACAACTTTTTGCTTTTTAGAAGTTTTTCGAACCTACAATATATAACTTAGTCTAACTCAGTACATTTTCCCTACAATCTAAGTAAGGTTAGTTGGGTTCATAAATGATAAAACCTCACTTTTCACACTAACGCTTTAGTCATAACAAGACATTTCAATAACTTTATTTAATGTGGCCAAGATAATCTATTCCGGTTTGCTGCTCTACTGCGGTTTTATTACTAGAATGCCTGGGACTAGTAAACCCTTCTTGATGTTTCTTAACACATTCACTGCCTTTATTCCTTTCCTGAACTTTTGCCAGGTTTTCGTCATTTCAAAGACATGTGTTTATCCAGTGCCTTTGCATTGAGTTTATACCAATTTGATGTTGATTTGTTCCCATTGGAACGAACCATTGGAAAATAATTCTAACGAGAGAAACACTAGTATAATTTCAAATAAATAAAATTTTAATTTAGTCATCATAGTATTAATTTGTATCATCGTTGTAATTTTTTGTATGAATTTAAAATTAAACATAATTACATTTGCCATTAATACCGTTTATAAGTAAACATTTAAACATTTTGAAGTAGACATGGGAATTTTAAATAGAATTTTAATCATATTTGATTAATGAAACCCAGAGATTTTTGTAAGATATTTTATTCTGGAAATAATTTAGGCTTGTGCCAAAATGAATTTTAAATACTAAAAATAAAAAATAAAAGACAAGGACCAGGTAAAAAATGTTATTGAATTTCCAAATGTAAGAAAAATAATAATTTAAACACGAAGATATTCTAAATAGTGAAATGGGGATGCATTTTAGGGGTTGAAAACGTTTGCAGCAACTGCCTACCGAAAAATGTACAATGCGAAAGTTGTAGATAATAAAAAAATCTAAAAATTTTGGATTCAACACTTTTTGACACACCCTCAAATTAACCATCAAAATGGCAAAAACCGATTTTTCAGTATTTAATTATTATATAAATGATTTAATTTACATGAGACAATTATATTGAATTATCATTAATTAACAGAAAAAATGAAGAAAATCGAGGCATTGAAAATATTGAAAAAAGACATGATTTGGTTTTTTTTTCAGTTTTTCGCAATTTTAAGTGGTTTAACAATAACTAAACCTCCAAGTCACATGTACTTTTTAAAGTAAACGTTTCATCAATTAAAATGACCATGTAGAGACCTCCAAAATTTAAAAAGAAAATTGTTTGTAGAAGATGAGGGGATTTGTGTCGAAAAATGTAAATTATTCAAAAAAGAGTCATCTTCAGAGCTGCAAAAAAAATCATGATTATTCGACACCTAAAGACATACTTTTACAAATTTTCATGTTAATTAAATCATTTAAACCTATGAAAAAAATTAAATATTGAAAAATCTTTTTTTCGCCATTTTAACGGTCAATTTGAGGTTAAGTCAAAAAGAGTTTGGTTATTTATTATCTACAAATTTTGCATTCTTTATTTTCTGCAAATAGTCTAAAACAGTATTCAACCCCTAAACTGCATCCCCATTTCAGTATTTTGAATGTTTCCATATTAAAATTATTTTTTTCTTAGATTTGGAACCTCAACAACATTTTCCACCTGGTCCTTGCCTATTTTTTTTCTTTCACAAAAATTATAGGTGCCAGCCTAATTGGAATGTGACCATGTGGAGATATAGACAGACGGATTAAGAATATATATTTTCATTCTATCACACATATTATTCTATTATTTAATATTTAATAAATCTTTTCTCAAAGTAGCACTACCCTGACAAAATAGACAAAAACCATCTTTGAAACATGTTGTACTTCGTGTCAAAATTTGAGGTCAATCAGTGCAAAACTTTCTGAGTTTTTGAAACGTACACACAACAACTTAACATTTTTATATATTTAGATATATGTCATCCACATAACCAACTTTCTGTTAATATTCAAATTCAAAAATTTGTACTGCTACAAACCTCTTTGTTCAAGTGTGTATAGTTTTTGCCATTATTATTGTTTAGTTTTAATACGAGAATTGACCTTTTGGATGAAAGCAACGGCAACACATTTATCCATTGCCGGCAGTGAATGTTTTTATGGACTCGAGTTCAATACCTAGAAAGCCTTTACAAACTCATTATTTTACATTGGTTCTCAATCTATTCTCTAGCGTAGTATAACTGAGTGTTACCTGTAGCCTCCACCTAACTGGTTTCCTAAAAGCTACACAGAAATTAAAATTAGAAGAACCAATTGAATGATATCCTTTAGGAGGATAGCTGGAAGCTGTTGTTATAAGTATTGTTTTTTTTCAGATATTATAGTGGTGAAAAAAGAGCTCCAATACTAACAATTTTTATTGGTGGTAACCATGAAGCATCAAATTACTTACAAGAGTTACCATATGGAGGCTGGGTAGCACCAAACATTTACTACTTGGGAAGAGCTGGTGTTGTAAAGTTTGGAGACCTAAGGATAGGAGGTAATAGAAACTATTAGTAATTAACACATCAATAATATTATAAATGATCACAAAATAACATTGTGTTACTTTAATTTTTTTTTTAACTTGCTTCATTCACTAACTATGTAATCAATCTTGGAAGTACTTGCTTTTTATTGATATATTATTCTGCTGTAGGTTTTTTGTGGCTAGCCTATTCTACTGGTTGGTTTTCTTATAGCGTTTGTGTGATTTTTTGTTGTGATTTCATAAAAAAAAGACAATTTCAAACAATAAAAAAAAGTAAAGATATTTTGAGTTTGAGATTGATAATTTTTGTGATAACCATACATTTGAGATTAGAATTATTGGTTGTCAACAACTTCTCTAGAATCAGGATCTTTCTTGGGCAGGAGGATTAAATATGACTCTTCTCATTGGACTGGAATGACTCCTACCTATTTTGAGTTCTTTAAAATCTCTTTCAATTTTTTTTTAATAGATGACACTTCTGCAATTACTTTTGGGGATACGTCATTATAGCCGCTTTTTGTCTTCTTTATAGTTTACCACAAAAAGGAATGGAATTTAAAATTCAAAAACAATAAATCAAACCATGCAACAAAGCACTGAGTAATTAAAAAACTGGCTAGTTTTTACAATAAAATATTTTGTGTTTATAAATTCAATTGTTTCAAAAATGCCCAAACTGTACAAACAACGCCAGAAGTCCTCAACTAGATATACTTTATCCTTATTCTCCTGATTGCCCTGTTTAAAAAATCCATTGTTTATAACAATTATTTTATTCTTTCATTACAGGTATGTCAGGTATATATAAACCTTTTGACTATCGCCAAGGATTATGGGAAGCCCTGCCTTATACTCGAAGCTCATTGAGGACAGTATATCATGTGAGATCACTGGATGTATTCAGATTGAGTCAATTAAAGGATAAAGTAGATGTTATGTTGTCGCATGATTGGCCAAGAGGCATAACGGAATATGGAAATAAAGAGGCTTTACTGAAGCGCAAACCATTTTTCAGGTAAACTTTAAAATCAATCTATATTAATTAATCCTGAAGACCATTTCTTTGTAGAATCTATTCGTAAATGGTCTATCAAATGGAAGACGAAGAAAGAAAGAACAATGGCGAATTCGTAGTTGAGTATAATTTGAGCGTCTTAAAATGTCATTCACAGGAAACTAATTCTAGTAAATATATACGTTTTTTGTAACTATCACCTAAGTCAGTAATACCCCAGGAAAAGAAAGAAAAATATTATAAGCTTATTTGATTGTTTTAATATCCTTTATCAGTTTAGTGTTACCATTTTATAGCCGTATTTTTCATGTAGTGGAAATACTGTAAAATAAAGTATCATAATATGGTAATCACTTAATAGTAATATGGTAATCAGATAATAGTTTTATAATTCTAAGTACTGAATCAATAAATAATATACTTTGTGGTGCGTTATTAAACGCATTGTTTACGAATTTGAAAAACCTGTAGTGGAATATAAGGTAGTAAAAAAAATAAAGTGGCAACTGCAAGCTGAAAAAAAAGCAATGGTTTTTTGACAACTCTTTACAGATGTTTGCGCTTTGTGTTTAAAAATAAAGACTAAACGTCGGACACGAATGGCCGCCGCCGATTATATTAGTTTAGGTTTTGAATTTACAATTCATTACATGTTGAAATAGGTAATAAATTAAGGAAAAGGAATATACTTACAATTATACTTATGACCCTAATTAATATTAAGTCATTATATCCAATTATATTCCAATTAAATAAATATACTTATGTATATGATGCTTATTTCATGCATCAGACATTAAAAGTGACATAAAAATATAACCTACGAAAGTTCTACAGCTAGTGGACTATAATAATTCTTTATTATCTTTTTTTATTATTATCAAAAAGTTATGTAAGGTCGATAGCCATAGACAAATTAATAAAATAAATTAAACATTAAGTAGCTATGTTATAAAAGACTTCATCTATGGACTCTTTTAAAGACAGTCCACAGATGCAGTGCGTAACTGAAAAAATCAAATGCTAATATCTTTTTTTTCTACCCTTTTCCAAACAAAAATTGTTTTTTACGTAGATTCTAAAAAATAGCCGATTTTGTGTAAATTTTTACACTACAAGACGGTGCAATTTGATTCCAAATATTTTTTGTATGGAGACCCGCCATTGTTCTTTAGGTAGTACTAGCTCAATAGCTCTAGTAATTTAAAAAAAAAAATCAATCACTCATTTTGAAAGTGCATATCACTCGATTTCCACATACTATTAGCATATATTATAGCATTCAAGTCAGTCCTTGAAAAAAATATTTCTATATTCATTTAGCACTAGATTGGTCCTGATGCTTTTTCGCAGCACCATTTGGTGCTGCTTGTTAATATTTAACTTGAAAAAATATTAAAAACCATACTTCAAAGCGAGCGTATTTACAATCTGAAAATCATGCATAGCAGAGATGTTTTTAATTAAATTGTATGCTTTATCTGTTATATTATTGTCCTTTTAATATTTACAATAAAAAAGGATATTATTATTATTATTTACATCAGTATTCCATATTAGTTATTAAAATATTTTGTTTTATATTGAACTAAAATAAAAATGTCCTTTTTTAGAGAAGACATAGAGTCCAATCAATTAGGCAGTATACCAGCAGAGACATTATTACATACTCTCAAACCAGACTATTGGTTTGCAGCACATTTGCATTGCCAATTTGCTGCACTTGTCAAACATGAAACAAATACAGAGACAAAGTTCTTAGCGTTGGACAAATGTTTGCCTAAACGCAGACATTTGCAAATTCTCGACATACCCACTGAGATTGAAGGTGAACCATGTCTAAAATATGATGTTGAATGGTTGGCTATTTTGAAGAACACCAATCAACTTTTGACGGTTAAAAATGTAGACTGCCATATGCCCGGGCCAGGTGGTAATGAAAGGTATGTAATAAAATATATTTTCAAGATTGTTTAGTTTCATGATCATCTTACTGCCTTACTCCCATTTCTTTTTAAGAAAATTTGGGTAAGGAAAAAACGTATAAAGGACACACTTGAGTCTAAATAAGGCAACCCAATTGGGTAGAGAAATATAAAAAAGCGAGAGCTTGAGTGAGCAACACTGCAAATCGCCTGAGACTACAGTAGCCTAAAAAGTCCATCTTGTGATTGAAATGGCACTAGAACAGGGAAATCAATTGACCAAACTTTAGTTATTTGCCAGTAGGTGTATTATTTTATGGAACTTTTAACTTTAACACTTAAAGTGAAATTTTGGAGACCTATGAAAAATGCTACAAAAAAAACACAGATTTGACAAATTTTCAGACCTGTTTCAGCCTGCCTTGATGCAAATCATATGTTTAAATGACAAAGTAAAATTTTAATGTAATTATGTAAACCTCCGTTAAAATGAAATAATATAGTATATAATATACATATATATAGTATATCTCGTACAAATAATTGAAATCTAATTAAATATAATAAATGAGTATTATTTATTAAATTAATATAAAAAAGAGTAAAGTTTGTAGAACGAACTCAATAAAAAAAAACTGTAGTAAATAAACGAACAAATTGTGTAATATAAACATAATAATGTAAAAAGAAGCCATTAAATATGTTAACTTCACACTAATTTTCTTACAGATATGATTTTACCCCAACAGAAGAGGAAAAAGAAAATATAAAGAATTTATTTGATAGTCTAATTATAAAACAAGAAACTTTTGTAAGGACAGCACCTGTTTTCGATGTAAATAGTCCCAAGGTTGCCCCACAAGAACCTATAATGAATCCACAAACAGTAGAACTATGCGAAAAACTGGGCATAGATGATCCTGTTCAAGTGGTTCTGGCTAGAATGGGTCGAACTATGAAACCTGCACAAGTTGAAACAAATAATGAAATATCTAGTTCTACAGAGAGCACGCCAATGAAGTTTCAAATGTCCAAGTTATCATTACCAGCTCCAGTCACGCCAAGTAACGATGATAGTCAACATTCATTACCAAAATTACTTTTATCAGAGACTGATTGCAGTTTTGTGTCAGATAATTCTAGTAATGTGTCAGAGTGCAAAACACCAACATCAGTGGAACCCAAGAAAACATTCAAAAGACGTAACTTATCAATCTATAATTCCCCAGAACTAGATTTAAGTCCAAGCACTGATTCAAGTTATTTGGGAGATTCTGAGAGTCCCCACTCTAACAAAATATCTTGTACAAGAAATGATTCTTAATATTTACAGTGCAATCATAGCATATTATGTACAAATAAAATTATGCCTTAGGATTTTGCCTCAATTTTTATTACTAGGAGTTTAACTTGCATTAATAACATAGGTTACCATAAACTACTTGAGAATAAGCATGACAACAAAACATTTTTATAAATATGCCGTTTATAAAAAAAAATTACTCATAGTTATAATAATCATTAAATTCATAGGTAAGTAATAGTTAGTTTTTAAATCGAAATGAATTTTGGCAATAAATATAGTGTGCAATGTAAGATAGATGGTTATTAAATTATGAAGTCGAAAATATACTTTATTAGCAAATTAATTATGAAATTGCACTCTAAGATGCAAATAGTAAATCAGTCTGATGAAATTTAACATGTTAACATAAAATTGTAATGAATTAGACAATTAATGTTAAGTTTCCTATATACTACATCATCACCATCTAAAAACCGGCGTGAGTTCCAACACGTACTACATTCTAGTAATGGGCATTAATGCTAATTGGATTTAATTTAATTGTGAATTCTTATGTCATAGCATGTTATATTTCGTGATTATAGTATTTCGTATTTAGAGAAAATGAAAAACTATCGTACCTTTTTATCACTTACTACAAATTTTACATAAATGAACTTATTATAATTTAACTCACCGATATCCGCAGCGATTTCCGCGATCAAAAGTAGCTACTATTTTATATTCTCCAACATTATTACAGAAATAATCCAATATAGGGTTTGTTCACGAAGGCTAGCATATACTATATCTGCTAGCCTTCGTCAATTATATCACTATCTAAATACACTATCTATTCACAAAATACCTATTTACAATACAACGCACACATCTTCAAAACTTATAAATCCATACCTATTCTATAATGTAATTAAATCTCTTATTAACAAATACTGTAAGTTTTCTTCTTTGATTTCTTTTTAAAAGAGTACTCCCGCACTAGAAATATATACTGTGTTGCGGGGGACTGTACAAACATACATGGTAACGGTCACATATAAAACTTAATTTCTAGTGCATCTCCTCACACATTTCGTTGGTAAAGGTAGACTGGGAGAAAATGCCTGTGGCCTTAAGTCAATTAATTGTTGTCTATGCAAAAAAAAAATACGACACAGGATATGATATTCCTAATGCGAGCGTCGTCTTATAAAAGTTTTTTTTACGAAATATTCACCTTGAAATCGCGTAATCGTACACTTGTTGTTTCTTTTAAACTTAAGACTTATACAGTAAAACTGTTACAAGAAGAAAGGTTTTAATTTGTCAAAACTAATGGAAGCAATAAATACTACCAAAGTTTAGTCAAACAGACAAAATCACCTTTCCCAAGTACTTTTGTACCCTAGGGGGAAGCGTCTAGAGCATTCCATCAGATTAGTTTAAAGTAAAATACTCAGTGTAAGATTAAGGTATGTTGGATAATTACATACACATGAGTGTATTTGAAAAAAAAAAATGTCGATTTGAGCGTGACATAAGGGATCGTGGTAGGGTCACAAAATAGCAAAAATAAACACATGACCTTTTTTTTGTTTTAATTTGAAGAAAACTGCAAGTAATCTTTAAATGTCAAAATAATTTTTAGTGCTTTTATTTGTCACATTTTTGTAAAAAATAAAAATATTTATACCCGTCAGATTTAAAATACGCTTCAAAGTTATCGTGAGATTCTGGGCAAGCCTGACCGGAACATCAAGTTGAACCGTCTGTATAAAAATTAACACGCTCGGATATTTCGAAATGGCGATTTTTCGAATTTGCAGTTTGCAGTTTCGAAAATTCGCTACAAGCTTGTCATTTTAAAATCGTCAGACCTTTCAATAGTAATATAATAATATATTTTTGGCGTCCAAATAACATTTCCCCAAAATATCTGATGCGCTCGAATATTTTAATTCGATTTCCTCCCGTTACATTTTTGAAAACCTGTAGAAGCCTTTCCCACCGCTGGAAGTGGAAACATTATATAACTTTTACTAGCTGACCCGCGCAACTTCGTCTGCGTCTCTCAATAGTAATAAATTTTCTCTGTTTTTGAAACATTCTTCATTGGTGCTCCGCTCCTATTGGTCTTAGCGTGATGATATATAGCCTATAGCCTTCCTCGATAAATGGGATATCTAACAATGAAAGAATTTTTCAAATCGGACCAGTAGTTCCTGAGATTAGCGCGTTCAAACAAACAAACAAACTCTTCAGCTTTATAATATTAGTATAGATTCATTGTAAGTATTACCTAATCTTTCGAATAAAATAGCTCCCCATGACGCTCGAGTAATCCATGGGCTCCCCTACTATTAATTTCTACTTTGACAAATTTTTGGGTCGTTCCCTTTGATTTTGACAAATTTCGACAAATTTTTGGCGAAGTTTTTTCTCTTTCGATAACGTGGCGGAACAATCGAAACGCACACAATATTAATTCATACGTTCAAGATATTTCACGACTACAAAGAATTTAACTAACTAACTGCTAAATAAGAATTCACAATTGAATATGACTGAAGCCTAATTAATGCATCACTACTACGTTCAAGTTAGATGAACCAATTTGTAGGGAATGAAATAGTATGGATGGGTGAATGAATAGTGTCTGGCATATGGCCTTTAACTAGCCAAATAGGAGAAACAACTTGGCATAACAGGATTTCAAAGCTGCCTGACGTTCATATCAACTAAAGTGATGAAAAGTGATGAATTGCTAAGTAGAGGCACTTGTGTAATACTGATACTAGGCATCGGTAGCTTAGTTACTAGGTGCCTTAATCATTCGTTTCTTAGAAAATATTACACTATGAGATTGCTAAATAAAACTAAGGTAATAGTTAAAAAAAAGAAAATAATTATTTATTATGTATAAACAAATGTTCTTTAAGCTGTGGCATGTTTTTTGGCTTAAATAAACATTGATTACATTGTAGTTCAGTGGCCAGTAGACTTTTATGCAATTCTGGTGATATTTTCTTTATACTGCCATTCTCTTTTAATTGTTGTTGTACATCTGTAAATACCAACAAGTTTGTTAATACTTGATTAAAAGTTTCATATAGAAGAGTGCGTTTTATTTAGACATAGTCCATTTTTATACAAACTGTATCTTTTATAATATCCTTAATATCTTTTATAATTCCGTTACTTGGCAAATAAAAAAACATGTTTTATTGTGTTTAAGTTCATTTGTGGAATGTCTTTTATATTAATAATTATGTTGAACATGAAACAAAATAATGAAATTCTTAAATTGTTCCGTATGCTTCATTAACTAGTTGCTTAAATAATGCTGAGGATGCAATCATATATCAGGCACGCCGTCATCGCGGCGGCAAGACCCGATATGGAGGATTGGCTCGACCGACTGACGCAGGTGATCACTGGGAAAGGATGTTTCGGGGATCACCTGTGTCTGATCCGCAAGGAGCCAACGCCTGAGTGCCACCACTGCGATGGCCAGACCGTGGACACGGCTCTCCACACGCTGGCAGAGTGCCCGGCGTGGTTTGAGCAGAGGCGAGACCTCGTGGCGGCCATCGGAGTGGGAGTTCTCTCGGGATAGCCTGATTGTGGCTATCGTGCGGAGCGAGAGTGCGTGGAACTCTGCCGTCTCCTTCTGCGAGCAAGTTATGCTCGCGAAGCGGGGGAGCGGGACCGGGAGAGGTTTAGAACTCTCCCGGCTCGCCAGGCCCGGGAACGGGCCAGGTACCGCAGGCGACTCAGGCGCCGGAGGTCGCAGAACGACCTCCGTCCTCCATAAGCGCAGGCCTGGGGGTGACAGGTGAGGCCATCTGTCACCCTAGCAGAAGCAGGCCGGGGTGGCGGCGAGCGCGTTGCAAAGCGCGCTCGCTTCCAAGGAGCACAGGGAACATGGGGTTCCCACACGGGGGGGGGGGTCGTCTACTCGTCTGTAGATGACCCGAGGTATGTCGGGGCACCAGGGACTTCCTTTCCGCACGGAAAAAAAAAAGGATGCAATCATATAAGACTTATCAAAGTACCACATTGTAAATAAAAAAAATGTCACACTAAAACAACCTGTCATAGTTATTAGTTATTCTAATGTTTTTTTTTTGGAAGTATATAGGTATATACATATATATATATATATATATATATAGTATTTATATATAGGTATATATAAATAACGTACGTTACAGCGTCATACAGCAGTCACTATTTTATTAAGTAAGCAATAAAATGTAAAAAACAAATATCGGGTTGCTGCTACTATACAATAATAAACAGTATATTATATTTTCAACACTCCCCTGCATCTACATTCTGAAATAATTATATCTCAAAAACTAGCAATAAATTTAATAGTTTCTGTCATACTTGAAGGAGTAAAGAGATTTGTTGCCTCTTACCAATTAAACATTAATAAAATCTAATCCTGTGTTCTGCTGATTGCCTATGAGACAGAACCACCATTGCATTCTACTGCACCCCCATAAATAATGAGGTTGATAGGTCTAAAGATCACATTCATCAGTCAGGGTGTTTTCTGAGGTAATGGATGTCATTAAAAGCCCACCAGTACTCAGTATATTTATTATATTATAGTTGTACTTTACTCTCTTTTGTGGACACTACCTTCATGGCAATCCATTCACTCTCCCTACATACCACGGACAAAACCTTGAACTGGGATGCATAACTTCATGCAAAGAGATCTCCCTATTACCTGCTAACATGTACCTAACTAGTTGTTAACTAACCCTGACTGACTTGACTGTTGGCTAACCCCACAAATGTAGCAGCTTAATAGTTTCAAGTCACATCTATAAAAAAAAATATGGAGTAGGGGGGCAAACAAGCCAATGGGTCACCTGATGGAAATCGACTACTGCCGCCCATGAACACCTGCAAGTCAGGAGGTAAAGGTGTCACATTTAAAAGGAATGTGATTTCAAATCTGAGATATATAACTGATGGATCTGGAAATCCTAGTATCTTTATTAGATATACTAAGTACTTAGTTGATTAATACTACTATCTTACCTTCGAAAAGCATAAAAAAGTCAGTAGTAAAACTATTCCAATGTACTTTAGTTTTCAAACACGGCGACACCATGTCACCACTGATTATATGCATATGAAGTCTTTGCATACTTGGTACTGCGTGAAAACCAGCTCTTAGTGTCACTTCGACTTCGTCTTGTATTTCCTTAAACAATTTACCAAATTCTTCTATAAGTTTTACATGCGATCTATTTAACATATAGATGCTACTTATATTATCTTGAGGTAACACTAAGTAATGAATTTTGGCCTTAGGATATTTGTCTTTGATTATAACACAGTGCTCGGTTTTTTTTACTATGGAATCAGGGTTTTTCATTGCGTCGACCAAGCCTAGGGACCAATATTTTGATTTTTTTGCTTTTGTGTTTGATGATGTATTGTTTAAACTCCTTTTACTCATTTTTTCCGCTACTGTTGTGCTATTTTGTAGCAAATAAGTGTTCATAAATGAGCACATTTGCACATTAACATTAAAAAATGAGCAATATCGAGTTACACTACAGCACAACAAACTTAAATAAGGTGTATGTGTTTTTTTATACTTTGTAAATAAATAAGAATAAGAACCCTTTTTGAGAGATGTCAGCTGTTCACAGTCAGTGTTGCCAACAGTTAAATGAACTCTCCACTGCATTCTACATCTAAAACCACCAGAAAACCACTAACGAAAAACGACCCTACTCTAATAGGCACAAAATTTTCCACTAAACATTTTTTTTGTAATTACGAAAGAAACCCATAAGTAAATATCTAACTAGTTTCCTTAATATTATTAAAATTTAATACTGATACTAATCATTTTTGTCAGCACTATCAACATCGGTTCCAGATTAATACGATTGGTTGGTACCGATTTGTTTTACAACGTTAATTGCAATTTCATATCTGGTGCAGCGGTCTCCTTCCAGATTCAGACCAGAGCGTATTCTTAACATATTATATAAAAGATTTACCTTGATTCTATTCCTCTGTTTATATCTATAGTCTCTCAACTCAATATTACTGGTCCCGTCTGGGAAACGGGGATGTATTTAGAGAGTAATACCAAAAGTTAGAGAATTTTATTAATTTTGTTAATTATTTCGTTGGTTTAATCAAACTACTTCTTAGCTTCAAGCAATATATTTTGAAATTCGTTGTCATTTATATTTAAAGGACTAGCTGGTGTCCGAAGCTTCGTTTACGTAGAATTTGAAAAGCGCTCCTTAGTGGGTTCGATTCCCGGACCGGGCAATTTTTTTTAGCCTAAATTACTCCTTATATAGACAGCTACCTGGTAGTAAAATATTATCAAAATCGGTCCAGCCGTTTTGAAGGTTACCCAAACAAACAGACAGACAAAAAATATTTAGACTGGTTTTTAGGCAAGATACCTATTGCAAAAAACGTGTGAGCATGAAAAAAAACTATTATTGACGTGACAACGTCTTATAAATTGGTTTGCCGGGTGACACTTCAAGAAACTGCGTTACGCTCCGCTCACGTTATGCGCTCACAATGAGAGCGAGTGAGAGGCACGCGTCCCTTCCAATCGGGCATGGTTAGCCCGCCTAAGAGCGAGAGAGACAGACATAGTCGTTGTCACGTAAAACTTTCGCCCGTATACCGACTTTACAGGCAACCAATTTTTTATATTACAAACCATTGATATAATACTTACATAGATGAGTAATTACCGCCTAAAATCGTTGCTACTGCACATCTGTCCACAGGCATATGCGTAGCAAACGTCAATTCAGTGTTCAATGTGGCGTCAACCGAGTTGAACATAGCGACACATGACAGTAACAATCGCCAAAATGGGTAAATGCGTAGTGAAAGAATGCGATTCAAGGTCACAAAACATTAATAAATCATGCGGAATTACTTTTCACTTGTAAGTTTATGGTTTTTGTATTGATAATATCGTAAATAAGGCTATAATTGAAATAAAATACTGATAATTGTAATTTAGAATCAGTGTTACCATTAAAAAATCATTTTGGTTTTCCCACATTAGTGGGAGAATTAATAATTTATGAAATAATATGCTTTATACTGTTTTTAAACATTTTGCCAATAATAATAAAATGTAGGAAGAACGGTAGTTGTTAGGGCTGGACCGATTACTTTTTTTAGGGACCCGTTGAACGATCACTGCGCGCTTGGCAGAAGTGCCAAGCTCGCAGTGCTGGAGACTTTTGTACAAAAGAATTAATTTATTGTTTTTCTTTATTTATTATCAATTTTAAATAATAATTGTACAAAACAATAATTATTATAATAAAAAATGTTTATCATAAAAATAAAAAAAAGTAAATAAATATAAATAAAAAATATTATAAAATATAAATAAAAAAAATTATAAAATATAAATAAAAAATAAATAAAAGATAGTTTTTTTTATTTGTATTTAAAGTATAATAGAATTTGCAATACACCCTGGGGATTATTTATTATCAGTACAAGTTGATCATTCACTTTTATTATTAAATACTATTATTTTTACATACGTAAAAATAAGATTGTATCATGAAAGTAAAATATCCATACAAACTTATAAAAAAGAGTCTAAAAGACAATTGTATACAAAACTGATGCTTCACAGCGCTGTTTGATTTTACACTGAATATAAACCCTTTTAACCAAATATTTCCAGTTATTTTATTATTTATACCTATTCTATTCAATTCGAAATATATTATTTAGAATATTTAAATTAATTTATTTTATTACAAAATTGTTTTAAAAAAAAATTGTTTCTTAGTTGTTATGGGTAAAATTTCATACGGTAGTCAACACTGGCCCACTATCGTAAAGTTATGTCTTTGTCTTTGTCTAATCCGAGCGATGGTATGGTTCTTGTCTCGCGTGTAAATGAGACATAAATATGTTTACTTTAAAATGTTTAGTGGTATCAAAGCTACGTCGTCAAAGTTCAAAAGTGGTTACACTTTTTTCAACGTGTGATAATGAGGTTTGCTTCTCTAGTGTTGTTTTAACTCAATGTTACAAACAGACAGATTTTTCTTCACTTTTATCTTTCTTTGTTTATCTCTTCGCCTTATTTCACTAAAAAATAATTAATTAGATTAATATATATAGGTACATACTTAGTATACTACATTTTGTTAATACTGTAGAAGTTTCTTCAAATGTTTCTGACAAATATTTAGTTTCCACTTTATAGATAAAACAAGATTTGTTAACCTCGAATCTAGTTGTTGAATACCCTTATTTTCAATTCAACTTGCGACAAGAACATACATAGGACTAAAGAGGCGGTCCTTGCATTTAATCTCTACAAAAAATTAACCGTTAATACTTGAAAATAATAGTTTTAAAAGAAATTGATTGTTTCGAAACTTTCTCAAGGCCATATCTTAGGTGAATAAACATTCGACTAAGCTCGACAGGTGCTCGATAGCCAGCCTTCGAACGTACGTCAAAATTTCGTTCGTGCGGCCAATTTTCTTTATAAAGTGTAACGTATCGAATGCTTAACGATACGAAAGTAAATTCGAAACGTTCGTGCTGCCAAAATTAGTTACTTTTACGTACGATAGGGGCGCTGCACAAATGTCTTACAAATTTTGTCGAAGACGATACGAATACTTTCCCGCAAGTTGTTCGTGCTCGGGGCACTGACATATTGAATTTTTCACTTATATAAAAAAATGCCACTGTTTCGTTCAGTTTTGTCATGTTTTAGCCATTCTTCAAAAAACTCCATTTTCGTCATAGTCACGACTCGTTCTGAAAAAACGCTAAGTAAGTACCTACTAAGAAGGTAGGTAGGTATTCATTCATTCATTGAAGTAATTGATTTTATTTGTTATGTTAGTACTAGCTAACAATTGCCTACTATCCGGTACCTAAAGTCTGTTTTTTAATCTCGTAGACTAAACTGACATTACGAGTGTTGTCAGTTTATTGCAATTCTTAAATAGTGATGTGGCACAACCGAAACTTAGCGTTAATAAAATCAAGTATCGTTTTTTACAATAAGTTATCCTGAAATAATGTGTTTATCCTGAAATAATGTGTAGGTACTTATTTAAAACGTAATAATACAACATTAATAATTTAAAACATATATTTTTAATTTTATAACTTAATTACAGGTATTCGCGTTAATCTGATTCAGATAATGACTCCATGTCTGAGGAATATTCTGAATCATCAGAATCGCCACCTACTTCTATGATAAACCTATCAGTAATGTCGTCGGTTATATGGCCCAGATGACACATTTGATCTTCAATTTTAATTACATGGTCTACACAGTCTTTCCACCGCTGCGGGGTCACTCGACGAAGCCCTTCTTCAAAAAGGCTTCGCACTTCATTCATTTTGAATGTATTATTATTTTTAGCGACATGCCCCTTTACTTGAGCCCAGACCAACTCAATCGGGTTTAGATCGCAGTGGTAAGGGGGCAGTCGCAAAATAGTGACACCCCGTTCAGCAGCCATCTTGTCGACGACATACCTTTCATGATCTTTTTTGTGCTTTCGGGCAATTTCATTTAATTCGGGCTTTAACATTGTCTCGTCATATGAAATATTTTTTGATTTTAGCCAATCTTGGATTTGCCCTTTTTCCCAACTAGAAGTAGGTAACGATTCCAGTTTCCTGGTGTGATATGGAGCATAATATATTACAAGTATATTTTTTTTTTTGTTTTATTTAAAGGCATCGAAACATGGTCGGATTACGCATGGCGTTGCGTGGTCAGATTTCCCTGGCAGTTTGTAGCACGTCGTGCAGCCGTGTGTACGTACGTGCATTTTAAATATATAACTTTGAATGAAAATTAAATTCGTCTATTATAAATAAAAAGTTACGATTCAACAAACCGGTATTGTAGGTACAACACTGCACAAAAGAGCTGGCAACATTATTTGTAAATTTGACATTTGCATGTGTCAATTTAGTCTAGTCTACGAGATTAAAAAACAGACTATAGGCAGATAAACTGAATATATCGAATAGAGGCCGAATATCCGGGACAAATCTAACTCTTCTTATACTCTTCTTAATATTATTATATACATAATTACGAATTTAAGGTACCTGTTGTTGCAGCGTTATACTGTGATAATACTTTTCTATGGTTAATACATTTTTAAAATATTTGATCAGACGGGAAGAGGAAGGAAGAAATAAATTAAGTTATTTATTTAATTATCTACATTTACTTAAATAAGAAAAATAAATAAGACAACAATAATTATATCATTACCATAAACTATTACAACTTCTGACAGTCATGACTGAAAAATTACCAAGTTGTCTGTAGTCTTGCATCCAGAACAGCTTGCGAATTCTCAGTCATAAGTTTAAACTGAATATTTTAAATATTCCTTTAAGTAACTTAATCTAAAAGGCCTTTTATACCTAAAGGTAAAAATATATCCTGGTCTAAATTTATTTTATTTTAAAGAGCACCTGAGTGATTAAAAGCCTTTGTCATCAACTCATTAGTTTAAACTATCCCTTTACACACTTCGTACAATCTAATAGCCTCATAAAAAGTGTTCAACACTATGTCATCTATGTACATTGTTATTACATTATGTCACTGTACAGTAGGACGTCCGGTGTACCCTGAATCTGGGAGAGAGTGGTGCGCCAGCTCTCTCAGTATTTGTTCGAAGCCCTTTCCAGATGGAGTTTGTAAATTGCTGTTTTTCAGCATTGTGGCGTTCAGTTTCGTAGCTAAGTAGCACATCTGTAAAGGACCAAACAGTTTTTTTTTAAATCTAGGTGTGTTTTACAAGGTAAGAAAACTAATTGTAGTAACAATAAAAAGTAAGCTCATGGCCCATATCCAATACGAGTTCAATAAATATTGTACAAGCCAAATTTTAATTTATTCAAATCTTTTCTGTCTTACACTTCACGCTATCCTATCAAACAATCAATTGACTAGCGGTTAGCGATACTGACAGCCAGAGGTTGTGGGTTCGATGCCCACCGAGGACAAATAATTGTGTGTAGAGCACGTTTACATGTTTATTAGCACCTTGCTTACCTATTCGTTCGCCCCCTTAAGTTCTTAATTTTATGTGCATTATATTTAATTTTGGTATATTCTTGTAACTTACTAGTAAAGCAGACATAAACAGAAGCGCTCCCAAAGCTACTGCTACCATCATGGACGTAGCGCACGTACTTTCAATTGGTGTCCTATGAAACAGTTCACCAGGCATTACAACAGAATATTCCAGGTTCTCTTTAAACCTTGTGAACGGTACTGTAGAGTTGTCAGCATCAGACACTAATGCGGAACTCGTGACGTTGTGACTGTGGGAAACCTCAGGCAACGATCGTCGTCGACGGCCATGTCCTAAAAAATTATATGCAAGATCTATTACCTTGTTATGTCAAGATTTATAAGTATGTCGTGTGTATGAATATTATTTTGCGTGCTGCGATTGAGACGAATGTATTATAAGGAACGTTTTTGCTTACACTGGGGTTAAAATAAACCGTTAAAGAGTTCGTTTTTGTAATTACTAACCTGAGGGTTCAAACAAGTCTAAACAGTAGTCAGGTTGGCAATCACCGGCATCCATACAAGCCTTTATTTGCGAGTGTATCCAAAGCGTTGAACGTTCTTTCATTGAAGCAAGGAGGAATGCCTCGAAATCCAAAAACACTTCGTTGTGCCGCTCTCGGTAGCGTGCTGGTTGGTGAGGAATGATTGAAGCAAAGTCACGATTTCGGCACCTGCATGGTAACGTATCTTAAGTAAAACAATGTTTGATATATTCTTTACCTACAAGGATCTTTACGAAAACACTATTAAATAGCCTTTTTCTTTAAATAAATCTTTGCTATGGACTGTTAAGAATTAGTCGCTCATAATTATGTGTAATAGCTAACTTTGTTAATGTCGATAACAAATATTTTAATGTCAGTTGTTGTTTACCTTTCATTGCGAATAATCTCACATTTCAATTACATAGTAGGCATTAGAAAATATAATATTTTATTGTAATTACTTACCCGTCTTTAACAAGAAGCACAGCACCGGGTGCGTGTGGCCTATCAGGGTCAGGCGAGACCGCCACCTCCAACAACTTAATATGCCGCCACGCCGAGTCTGGGTTGATGCGCGCACGCAGTTGAAGCTTTGTGCCGATTGGCACCGCCTAAACAATTACCGGTTCAATTATCTATCTATGACAACGGAATATTTTTTCACCTATCAATTATCCACCTCGAGTCACGTCTTTTTTTCGTATTTTGTCAGTCGTAATCGTGTACCATGACCATGACCCAAATCTCTTTCGAAAAATGTTTTTTACAAAATTGCATTGTTAGCGAACAGCCACTTGTCTTGTGTTCTAATCAATTTCAGATTTTTTGGGCTGACTTCCAACTGGATCAGCAGCTGTTTACGTAGACGAAAATCCAAGTTGCTTAACAAAGAACGAAATACTGCAAGGGCTCTTACAAGGTACTCTCGAGTTAAAGTTTTAAGTTAAGTCAAAGCCTAAAATATATCGAAATAGATAAGTCGAGTATACTTATTCAAATAGTGTAAGTACCCTAAAATATTATATTAGGGATTAAAACCATAGTTGCATTAAAACGGACTACAAATCTAAATATCAAACAATTAGGTTACAAAAATTATGTGCGTCAGCGAACAATTAAGTAACAAAGTAGAACTGAATTGGCAAATTACGCGTACCCTTATACAAATGTTATTACTACTTACTACACTGTTAAAATTTTATTTATAGGAGTGAAACGTACAGTAGTTACCTGATCGACCGGCAAATCTACTGAATGATTAGTGTGCCTGGAGACAGGGGGTGCTTCTTTATACAGAGCCACTTCGTACTCGAGGCGCCCTGGAGTTTCTTCTACGACACCTGATACTCTTGCGCCGTGGGGACTGTGGAAATATCTAAATTAATACGTAAACAGAAGAAGCATGTATATATTGACATTGTAATATAGATGTACCGTGTTTTTTTATCATGTTTCTGTCTTAATATTAACATCACTTGTAGTAGGACTGTGTTTCAAATTGTTAGAGTAGAAATTTGAATTCCTTAAGGAATTTTGCCGCCAATTTGTTGCGGCCGGCGCCTATCAACTGGCACCTCGTCAGAGGATCCGGGTTCTGTTCAGAGTTTATACTTTGTGCAAAAAAAGCGTGGTTGTTTGAATTGGTTTCGATTTTTGTGTAAGCATTAAATTATATGCATGTAAGGGCTCTTGAGCGATGCTTGGTTTGAGTCTAAATAATGTGTTATGAATACACAAAGGTTGATTTAGACCATGATATTGGTTGATTTCTTTTTTCTTTGTCCTGACTGTCATTGTGTAGAGTGTGTAGACTTACCTACTATGACAGGTAGACATATAAGTATAGTGAATATGACGTAAATTTCAAATTTGAAACACATTTAGTTTAAACATTTTATCTTTCACGATAGGTAAAAGATTTTTTTGTATTAATATTCAGCTAGGTAAAGTGCTTGATCTGTAGAATTTATAACATTAAACTAGTTATTAACCTCTTATGTATATAAAATCTATGCTAATTCATTATAAAATGATTCATTCAAATGTGATAAAACAAAAAATAACTATGTCTTGACACTGCCTTTAAATTAATTGAAAGATGTTGCAAAAAATGATCTGAAGGCCAATAATAACTATCATAAAAGGTATTTTCGTAGTAAAGTATCAAACATCTAACGTTGACTGCAATGTGATTATAGCGTATGGTGACTGAAAATTGAATCGGTAATATGCCACTCTTAGTATTACTTTCGAAAGTTCAGGTCCAGAAAGAATGCAGATATCGATCGAATCGAAGTTTATAGAATTAATATCTTGGCGCAAAAGAAGAAAGACGAAAAAATTTATGGCCCCTGTATAGAGATCTCTCTATAAAAGACTGCGGAGGTCGTAGTGCTTTTCTTTTTTGTTAATAAGATAGGTTTAAAAGGCATCGAATCTCTTTTTAGAGGACATGGCTTTATACACTAATGTAGTGATAATCGTGTTGCAACTGTTTATAACTACCAACAATAAAGACGAAGCCATGTGCAGGTATAAAAACCTAGATCCATAAAGAATACGCCTTAGATTGAAATATTCCAATATCATCATCATCATCATCATCATCAACAACCTTTAATAGTCCACTGCTGGACATAAGCCTCTCCTTAGAAAGGAGGTTTTGGCCTACTATACCACGCTGGCCAGACGGGTTGGTATAGGGTTTGTGTCAAGTTTTCCTTCTCTGTGCAGTGTTGTTGTTCTGCGTAGTTTTTTCCCTTAGTTGACTCTTACAACACCCACGGGATGAATAGGGGTGGTGACAATCTGTATTCTTAATCCGTCACCACACGGACTGCAATATCAGACCGGACCTTCCAATATCAACAGGATACTTACAAACTGCCAGCAAATCCAGCCGCCTTATTCTCGATAATTGTTGGTTCCGGCGGCTTGCACATTATTATAAGTTCTTGATCTGATTGCATAACCACTCCTGGAAATTGCGGGAACCAGACTCGGACGTGAACAAAACCCTGTATTGAAAAGAAAATACTGTTACCCAGTTACCCACATACTTGTATAAACATTACTTGAATAATTATAAATAGATGTGTCTTAGATACATATACCTACATCACTAATATATTTAACTGCCTCCAATCCAAAGAACTTGTATTAAGGATTACAGTTACGATAAAGTTATTTTAATAGCCTATTAAGTTATTTTAGAGCTAAGAACTAATAAACTGAAGTTAAAGCATCGCAAAAGCGACCAATACATATTTTAATAGGTACTGGTTTTTAGATAAGATAGTGGTCACCTACAAAATCGTCTACATATTAATTTTATTACTCGTTAACCTGCGGTTCAATATTAATTACTAATTAATGGATTTCATGGCACGAACACATGGTGCGTGGGGTTAAGCAAAATCGTGCAAAATAAGTTTTGCAAATAGAAATTGCTTGGTAAAAGAGTAAAAGAGAATTAAAAAAAAACATAGGGGGATATTGCTAAAAATAAGAGATCATATTTTGTCACACTCCTAAAAATTTTTGAAAAAAGGGTAAGTAAGATGATGAAGTTCTGTAATGTGAACATTTAGACCAAGTGCAATATTCATATACAATCATATAAAGACGAATAAAAAACAGAGTTTAACATTGATTAGAAGGAAGGAACCATGTAACAAAAAAAAAAAGCCCATATTTATTCTAGACGCGATAAACGATGTTTTCACATGTTTGTTAAGTACGACCATAGAATACTCTTTTTGATCAATTTAGCCATGGGCCGGATGTATGCGTTTTAGTAAAATGGATACAATTCAAAAACTAATCGCCAAATGTCTAGCGAAGTTTGAAATATATAACTGATTTCTTTGAATCTGTTTACATATCAATAACTAGGACTTATAACTAATACGGCCGGAAGATTTTCATGAGCGTTTGGAAAAGTCCCTTAGAAACGGGCTATATAATGGGATTCAGTTAACTAAATATTGTTGATGTACTGTGTTTATTTATGACTTTAGAGTACATATAATACGATTTCAAATAATTTTCATGTTTCTTATCTAATGAAAGATATTATTAACTTTGACTTATTACAGATTTACCGTTCGTTTAACTATTAGTAAATATTCATCGCCGAATAAAAAAACTAGTTAGTCATGAATTAAATTCTGGTTTGTCCTGTCCTAATACTCTTTTGTTTGTTGTCCGCATAATGTGCGCCATTGCAAAAAGTTTTAGCTGGTTTCATTTGTGGCCTTTCGCAATAAATAAAATCAATCAAACAATCTTATTAACGGGTCCAACGTCCTTTACCTCTTTTGCTAACTAACACTGTGACATAGAGTCTGAGTTGATGGACGTCGAAGCTAGACATACTTTTGTAATAACAGTACCTTATCTACCATGGCGTTTAATGTTGCGCGTATCTCTGTCACAGACAGTTTAGAGAGAACCGCAAACTTTTGATCGATTAGAGACACATTTTAAGCGTAACTACATGGCTGTTATTACTTAACGCTTTGTGCTAATTAACGATTTAAATAACTGAAAATGTTTAGTACATAAGTTGCTTATTAGTTAATTCCATTGGACCTACTTAAAGACGTGATATTCTTTGAATCATCCTTTTAGTATTTCCTAGTACATCGCGATGCGCTACTGGTCTAACCAGTTTCTACTCTATAGTGCCACAGAACGCCTTCAAACTCACTTCCGTCTACCGAAAATATGACTGGTAGCTACTAGCTTTAGTATGTATATGGATTGGACTAGTGGTCGCAAGTTGCTTTTCTCCAATAACCCGGATTATTGACACAATTATGGAGAAACGAACTAGTTTAGCGAAGTGCATTGTATTCAATCGATGCAAAGTTCCCGTATTGACACAGGTGTTTAAGATTTCTCTTCACCTCAATAGTATACCGGTATAAGCGGGCAATGAGTAATAATATATAAGCTGGGCTTGTTGTGTAGGCCACGATACTTCTTATTCACTGTTAGTAACTGATGGAATGTATTGTATATTATCTTCCGATGACACAGTGCCCACAGTCATCTTATTATAAATTTAAGTTAACTGCATGAAAGTTGATGCTGACTAGCTGAGAAACAATAGGGCCATTTCAACACTTACAGTACATGACAGTAAAGTGTTCCACAAAATATAATGTCGAAACCGCTAAAGACTTCAAGGGTACTTGTTAACTGGCACGTTAGTTTATTTTACTCGGATCTCAGAATTACGCGAGTGCATTCAATTTACAGCTAATATCCGAGAAATAACATTTAAAAAAGTAGCTACAATGTTAAAGTAAAACATAAAGTAGGATGAAAAAACTGTTTTCTGCTGTCATCAAATTGAAATATAAACATATAAAAGGAATACTGTTTTTTGTGTATATTTACATCACCAGAAACTAACGGAAGAGAAGGGAAGTAGTGTTACACAACTAAAGTGTGGTTTAAAGCATCATTGATCGTATAACAAGTAGTTTTCATTGAACATTTTCATTGTACTCATTCGCTGTTTTCGTTGTATTAAATAACAGATATAATCTAATACTCGCACATACTAATCTGTGTTAAATTTTAATTTCATAGATAAATTACGAATTCATAAACACGAAAATAGTTCCGCGTTGACTCTTATCTTGTCAATGTTAAGAGTACACAAGGCCAGGAAATATACATATAATTTTGTTTTATGAAGCAGTTTTACACATATGCGTGTCTTTTGTAGTTGGGGGACTATGAATAGAAATAAACCTGTTAGTGAGTTGCCAAAAATGTAAAATGGTTCTTTAACTACTTAAAACCTAGTGAGAATAAGGAAAATCGAAGAATATAATGCCAATTTGATATGGATACATAGATTTCTTTTTTATGGTATAAGGGGGCAAACGAGCAAGCGGGTCACCTGGTGGTAAGCAACTGCCGCTGCCCATGGACACCTGCAACTCAAAAGTCACAAGTGCGTTGCTGCCCTTGCAGTCTCTCCCGCTCGAGTAAGCGGGAGGGGGGATTTGGGCTCCGGTAACATCACTCACTCAGTGAACGGCAACGAAAGAATTGCTTAACACCGGTTTTCTGCGAGGCCGTGGTATCACTCCGGTCGAGCCGGCCCATTCGTGCCGAAGCATGGCTCTCCTACGGTTTTTCACTTAGACATAGAACAAATGAGACTGCACATCACACAAATATTTGTCCTGGATGAGAATTGAATCCATTCTTTACCTGCAGCCCGTTTATTACCAGATATTATTTCATTAAAGAGGTCGACAAATAGGTTTTAAGCATTCTTTTTTTGCGGTTCTCATGTTACTATCTAACCATTCACCGTTAACTTACTGCTTCTGAGATTAAAAATAATTTCACAAAATTCCTACACGTTTGGTTTACGGCCACCCTGAATAACACAACTGTGAGTTGACGTTTTTGGTTTAACTTGTTTATTTGTAACTGTGTCAGGTGTGTTTCAGTGGACATAAAAATAAAAAGTTAATTGTATTATCAGCGTCTAAAGTACGGCCTTTAAACTGTATTTAACTATTATGTTAGAATACCTGTTATTAATAATAACAATAATTTACATAATGAACCCAAATTTTATTTCAAACATTCAGCACAAGAAATAACAAATGGTGCGATCGCCCCATTCACTGCACCAGAATCGGTGCTACATGCACGTAACCTACATAAACGGTTTGCCCTAAATTTTGAGTTGCTAATAACTGACTACTAATAACTAGCTTAGTTCTGAGTTCAATGCATGTGATTTTTTACCTCATTTAGGCTCGTTGAATTGAGACTAAATAGTGTAAAGAGGCCAACATATAAATTTTATTTATAATTTGCATATATTTATTATAAAAATCAATGAGAAAAAACGGCAATTATTTCACAAAAACGACATAGTTATCAAATATAAGAATCTTTATCATCATTATTTAATATTGGTAAATTGGCATTTCAAAGCATGAGAGGAATTGGATTGTTATAATAAATTCAAATTTCATTATAATAATAATTTTTATTATTAAATATGGACCTACAATGTGTATGTATATTCGCTCGTAAAATATAGACAAAATCCATTCCAATAATAGCAAGACAAGAGCGCTTATCGATAATTTGCCATACTAACATAGACCTTTCACAAGAGCCGTGACTTACATTTCGTTTGAGTACGCCGCATCTTGTAAAGTCCGTGATTCGCAATCTGTACAATAATCCTGTACTATCTTCTGGTTCAGGTCTTATTTGGCAAACAGGATCAGCAACAGGGTCCGTTGCACGGTCGTCTGCAAATAGAGGTGCACCGCGAAATCCCTCCGGCTTCCTCAGCAAAGCGGTAACTGAATCTCGAAGACCGGTGCCACTACTCGCAAAAGTGCATTGAATGTCCGTGACTGAAATAGGCATTTAATGGTTGCAATTTACCTGGATTCATTTAAAGATAACTGTAAACTGTAGAAAGCAGAGACATTTTCCTTCGATATGCATGACTCTGTATTAGTGTTTTTTATGTAGCATTTCAATAAATGCATTCACAGTAAGATTTATGAATTTTCTGTTATTATCAATTGCATGATTTGCATGAGCGTTTCGAGGTCAAAGCTTAAAGCTGTCATAAAACAGAGGGCTGACCGTCACCGGCTGTCAATGACTTCTCATAGATGACGTCACGCTGGTTGTATTTTATATTCAAAGTACTTTTGCTTTATGAAGTGCTCTGATGATTCGTATGAAAGTTTACTACGCTAACTTTTTTTTAACTCTAAATGCAACAGATTGAACATTTAAAGTTAGTTAAAACTGTTTATATTTGTAATTGTGAAGCTTCTGTTAGTATGAATGTACAAGGATATACAGAGTAATATAACGAGTGGTCCACTAAAGTTTGGGCTTTGAACCTCTGAGACTGATTGATGATCCGATGAGATGAGATAATTGATTCTTCATTCTGAAGCGTAAAGTTTCAATTTTCTATGTAAATCATACTGTTCAAATAATATTCATAAGTTTTTTATAGCTGATTCAAATGGCAAATATTAGATTATACATCCTGTGTCTAATTCATCTAACCCTGACTTTTATCGTTAAATAGCACATCACCTTTTTCAATCATAGATCTTAGTTTTGATAATTGAAAGCTTAATAATAATATAATTTATCATCCTCATCATCTTAACAATCGCGTTTCAGTGTTTTTAGAGTTATAATAACAGCCACCTGATTTTATTTATTTATGCCTTCATCATTATTGATAACTTAATATAACTATGAAAATTCCTCACATGGCACGAAGTCCCATGAAAGAAAAAGAAAAAAAAAGCACCTTAAAACTTCGCTTTATCACAATGTTGGTGGGTATGATTAAACATTTTTGGTGATTATTTTTATCTTAACCAAATCAAAAATTGACACAGATGTACATATTTATATAATAAGAAAATTAACATGTATTGAGAGACAGATTAACGGTGTATACGTACCATCGTAGTCTTGTGAGAATGCCGCCTGGATCTGTAACAATAAGCATTCAAATTGGAGGAACGAAGAGTAACACACCATCTAACAATTAAGAGGCTAATTGAAGTGGGCATTGTTAGAAATATATGTATATCCTGTTTGTATGTATGAGTTTCCTTTCACATTGTGCTGACAAACGGTTTGAGGTTAATCGGGATAAGATCTAAGACGAACTTACAGTTGAATACGCTTTACTTTTGCGAGCAAAGATGTGTATCTAATGGTAAATAATTGCCAATGTTAAATTGTTTAAAAAACTTCATAAATAAGTACCGGAACTCTAGAACTCCTGCTCTTATTGAATAATTACTTGTTGTTTACTTGTTGTTTTTCTACCTATGATTAGAAGAAAATAGTATTTGAGCACTTTATATATTGTGAAACTTTAATTCACTTAGTGTATACTACTTTAGTAAAATAAGACACTGCCGTGATTTCGTTAATCCTGAGTATTCAAATAAGGATAATTGAACAATTGACAAATTGTTTCAAACAATTGCTTCAATTCAACAAAACCTTTTGAAGTGGGTGAAAAACATGTTTAAAAATTCCGTTAAATACACACATACATACAGGTGAAACTAATAAAAGTCTATTAAAATGTTGATAAAAGTGCTACTACTATACAGACTATAAAAATCGCTCAAAATAAGAAAATATCTGCTTTTACAAACTTGCACGATAAGGATTACATATTAGGCAGTTTAAAAAAACCTTTTTAGGGCGGAGAAGATTTTTTTACTCTTTCAGTTTGTAACCCTTTGTTTGATTATGAATATACATACGTATATAGACAGTAGTGTTGTGTAGAACAAAGGTAATTGAAATTTAATTTTCTTGACCGAAAAACCTAGATAAAAACAAATTTGGGATTATCCTCAACCTAACTGTAACACAGCTTTTACTAGCATGGGGATAGGAGGGCTTTGAGGCTAGGTGTAAATTATGTCATGTTGGATATATGTATAACCATGTAACTATTTAAGACAATAAAGGTTAACTTTACATTACTTTTACTGTGTACGATCAGAAGATGATACGACATTTATCTTTATATTTTTTTCTTTATTATAGTAACTTTATAAAAAACTAACTTTTATGAGTAGAGAGACTGGCAATCGCCAAGCAAGCATTCAATCGCAAGAAACACCTGTTCAAGGCCAAGATCAATACCGAAATAATAAAACAGCTCATCAAGTATATGGTGTATTGCACTTAATGGCTGCGTAACGTGGACGCTAACCCAAAGAGATAGAGACAGGTTGGCAGCATTTGAAATGTGATGCTAGAGGCGAATGATGAACATCAGTCAGATAGAAAAAAGAACCATAGATGTAGCCCTACTAATAATAAACGAAGAGACAGAAGGAGCAAAATGGTTTGCCACTTGATAAGATACGACAACTTCTTCAGAATAATACTGGAAGGCAAAATAGAATGCCTGAGAAAATGAGTACGACCTAGATCATCACACATACAGCAAGTGAAGGAGAAAGTGGGAGTCTTGGCCTATCAATAGGTCAAACATATTGTAGGAAATAGATAGGAGTGGCGATTGTTCTGCCGACAAGGGCTTGGTTCTTGAATTGAGAAAGAGAACTTTTATGACAAATACTGTTAAAAATGTCAGCTCTCTGCACTTCTTCTATACAACAACTTTAACTATACTACACGCGATTGTACTTGTGAATAATATTGAATACATATTACTAAACAATTATAGAAATAAATGTTATGCCTATAGCATTGTACAGTTTATTGATTGGAATGTGAACCTTTAAGTTCTGGTATGTAACTTTGTATATGAACCAAACTGTAATAATTACTCTAAAATATGAATAGAACAGTTTGTTGCTATAAAATTTTAAGATAACCTCTCTGCTAACTCTGTATAAATCAATAACCAATATTATGTATTTTAATAGTTAAAGCACCAACTAATATGAAAACTTTAGTATTAGTTTTCATATTAGTTGATAGTAATATGTAAAAAAAAATTGTACTCTGAGATGGTTTGCAATGCAGATTTTCAGTTTTATCCAGAGTTTTTAAACAATTTTGCTAGCTAGCAGTTATGATATTTCGACCTAGACTTCGATATTTAAATCTGGATCTGAATAAAGTCACATTTTAAAGTTCGTCATTAATAATAATCTAATATATACTAAATTTGTAAAGCTGAAGAGTTTGTTTGTTTGAAGGCGCTAATCTCAGAACTTACTGGTTCGAATTTAAAAATTCTTTTAGTGTTCTATAGCTTAGCTATAGCTCTATAAACATCATGCTACGACCCATAGGAGCCGAGTATTAGTAAATAATGTCGCATAAATAGAGCAAATTTATTCCTAGACGAAGGATAACCTGACGAAGTTGCGCGGGTCAGCGAATCATTTATATATTATAAATATCGGCATTTTTCATTAATAGACTTGTAAATATTTTCAATGAGAAACTGAAGTCGACCACAACTTTTTACCAACTAACGCTTAGACCCCATAAGAAATACGTATTATATTGATAGTTAGTCTTAAGCGCAGATAATTTCAGATATCAGTTTAATGATAGCTCAGCTACGATGAGAGCTGACCACAAAGAAAACGTTCGCTATTATCTTCCGGAAAAGTTGATAGGATATCGATTTCAGTACTTTTGATATTTTTAATCTTTTACGTGATGATGAATATCAGCTCTCAAGTATAATTTACAGAATAGAAAATAGTTATTAAAAATCTTCCCTTGAACCGTTGTATAAGTGGCAGCGACGTTGGCTGGTTGCTACCAGTCATCGTTACTTCTTCCTATGCTCTTAAGCTATTATACAATACTAGTTCGATACTGATCAAGTGTAATTCAATATCTATTTATCGCACGCACTCCTCGCTCGTGACCACGGCCGTTGCAACTTTCCGAACCTCCTGAACAAAATTCTCAAACTAATATTTATACAGGTACATTATGAAACGTAAAAGTTACTAAAATAATTAACTATTACATTCAAATGAAGTACAATAGAGACATTCTTTTACTGCAATATATAATGTAGGTATAGAAGTTTTCAAACACAGACTCATATCTCTATTATGTTCTAGGCAATCATTTTGTAAAAACGAGATAAACTAGGTAAATAGTATGTCAACTACAAATTCGAAGTTACAGATAGTCAAGACAGATGAAATGATCGATTACTACTTACTTAGAAATGTACAGTACATTTAAAGTTAGTTAGTGATTTTACTATCTTAAAAATAGATCATTCTTCTATTTGATTATCTTACCTCGCGACTGCTGGCTTAACATACGAGTACTACCGTTGTTCACCACTACAAATTATAAGTGTGATTGCGGTTTAATAAATTAAATGATTGTACCACCGCCTCGTTTGATTCGAGTGAACGTGAGCTCGGTTATGCGGCGTCGTTGAAAGTAAGACGATTTGCTTTATCACGGTTTATGCTTCGTCTACCTATTCCACTGAGCCGTGAGTCGCTCACAGACGAAATACATTGCTGAGTCAACATCATTTTATTAGCCTTGGTCTTGCGAATGAGCAAAAGATGGCCTGCTTATAAAGTATTTCATTTGTCGTCATTAAATTTAGTGTCGCTCGTTGTGTTAATTTCTATAAATAGGGTAAAAAGGGTTGATAAATAATATGTTTTTTTTAATATCATTAATAATATCTTTGAGATTTTAGAAACTTTGCTTGCATGAAATATCTTATTTTGATTTCTATATAGACATTGACATAATATAATAGGTATGAGTCGAAAGATCACACGAATTGGAAGCTGAATGTTATTTCATACGTTGATTTGATGTACAATTACTTCTCGATTTGAATAGGTACCTACATGGTTAATTTTGCTGTAGGAGAGCCATGTTGCGGCATAAATGGGTCGGCTCGGTGTTGGGCATTTTTTTCCTTCTCTTTTTCTCTACTCTTTAGAAAGACAACTCCCGCATTAGGAGTATATCCTGTGTCGTTGGGGACTTTACAAACAGATTTAGAACAACAATTTGTGGATCACACAAAGTATCGTCCCATGTGGGGATCGGACAATACTCAACGTGGTAGTGAGCGGCGTGGCGACCGCTTAAACCACTAAGCCATCTGTGAAGTCATTGATTTCCACCGAGTGAGTAAGGTTACAGTTAGAGTTACCGAAGCCCAAATCTCCCTCCCCTGATACTGGGGGGAGGGACTCAAAGGGCCCACTTGTGACTCTTGAGTTGCAGCTGTCCATGGGCGGTGGTAGTCACTTACCATCGTGAGCCGGCTGCTCGTTTGTCTCAACTATTATTAAAAAAATACTTTGCGTCCTTCAGGTACTTCCTTATTCAAATACTTAGTTTATTTCTAAACGTCAGCTTTAAATGCTGTCGCTGATATAAGTTTATATAACCATTAAAAAAAACTGACTAGCGTATACTTTTCATTACAAAATATTTATATTTCATAAGAAAATAGCAAAATTAATAACACACAATGGAACTAACGTGGGTCAATAGTTGGCACAAGAGCGAACAAAGAACCCAAATCTAGATAATTGTTTTCACTTACTTGTATGTAAATTTTATTCGTATTGCTAAACGGTTTTTTAAACGGTCTTACTATGATTATTGGGCGTGAAGAGTCGGTGAGAGGAGTGAATTGATTTCTCAGTTTTTGGTTTAAAACTTCAAACGGTTTTGTTCCATCGTTATATGCATTTGTATTTGTACGTATATTATTATATAAGTACAAATACAATTAGTACTATTACGTCTAATAACTAGAATAAAATTACAATAGTGTTTTTTTTACACGAACTTGATTTTTTTTATGTAGACATAGTGGCGAATAATAAGCTTTTTTGGCTTAAAAACATTCCAGAACGTTGCTGCAGAAACTGCTACGCAACATTATTTTCGCATGGTATAAAAGTAGGTATACGAGTATAATTCAATTAGGTAAAGTAAGCCGCTTACAGTTAATAGTTCATGATGATGACAAT